TTTCGGTTTAAAACTATTAAAAAATCGAATTCGTAAATACAGCTATACCTCGCATAGTGCGTGTAATCGATTCATCACTGTTTGAAACCGGACTAATCGAGGACTTTAAAACTTCATAAAAATAAACAGAGACACAAAAAGAGACATGACTGTATATGACATGATTCAGTTACTTAACATTTCTAAATTTTAAAATACTGCATTACTTCGCATAGTGCGTGTAATCGATTCATCACTGTTTGAAACCGGACTAATCGAAGAGTTTAAAACTGCATAAAAATAAAGGGAGATGAAAACAATGTGGAAATATGAATTCCACGTGCATATCAGTTCAACTGTTGAAAAATACCACGTATTGTGTACTTGAAATTGAAAAATAAATAAAAATCCGTATACTAAAAAATGATCATTAGACCATAATTCCATGGCAAAAAAAAATAATATTGAATTGATTACAAAAAAAAAAATACATATAACCACCCTTAGTATTGTGTGTGGTGCAAGTAAGCACGTAACATGGAATAGCGAATTTGGAAAAACAAAAATATGAGCGGAAATTCGGAGAAAAATACGAGGTACGTGATGCGTGCGAATAATGCTTCATTTGTGAATTTCGGTGTACCAATAAATGCGGTCGCGCCGCGATGAATGAAATTACGCGAAAACAAATCTGTTGTTATTAAAATTGAAATTCGAACCGCGGATGGCATCGATAGCGATTGGTGTTCTAGTGGGGTTGTTCTAAAGGGGTTGTGGGGGGTCTACACGGGGTGGTGGTATCGGTTGTCGGGCGGACGGACTGTGCGATTTACATAACAGACACCGGTTTGATTGGTGACCGGTCTATCCCCCTAGCCTCGTGCCGGTGCATTGTTTCAATCCCATTTATCTTCGGAAACCAGAAACTTGGATTGAGACAGGGGTGGCAAAAATATGACAAAACATGATCCCTTTGCACGCTTCTACAAACTGATACAAGCCCTGTGTTTCCATCATCATTTTATCTTAGTAATTATATCGCAAATTGAAGATCTTCCACCCATCCTTTGACAATCCACTTATAATCTCCAGTTTCCAGACTTTCTGTGCTGAAGAACACCAACTCGAAAGTAATTATAAAGAATGAAGGACGGAGATATTACATTTTCTATACTAAGCAAATATTATATATTTTGGAAATTTCATTCAAGAAAAATAATAACAATATTAATTAGAATAATACAATTATTATTTAAAGAATAAACTATCATCTGCAACATCTAATTTCTGCAAAATATAATAATTCCTCGCATAGTGAAGATAATCGGTTCTTCCAATATCCCGCACTCTTTGAAACCGGACTAGTCGAGGACTTAAAAACTATGTAGTAAGTTATATTAAAAGAGGTAATCGTCGCCGATTCACAAAAACTCTGCTGCGAAATAACGCTTATTAATTGCTGATTTTACACTTATATTGAACTAAACCCTATAGTTACCTCACTGTAAAAAATGGTTCATTTTACGCCGATTCGATTTGCGACGGCTTTTATAGGAACGGAACTGCGGCGTAAAACGAAAACTAACTGTATATGAAATATAGATGTATGAAGAACATATTTATATGTAATAATTAAAATCAATAGTTAATTTACTGTTCTTATTGAAAACTTGAAACGCAATTTAAATGGTACAATGAAATGTATGTAGCGTATTTGAATGAAAACAAATCTACTTCTGGTATAATCTAATATATTCAAGCTTAATAGCGTTCTGGTAATAGCTGTATGTCTCCGTGTATATATATATGTATTTATATTGTAAGTTGTCTACCCAACATGCAACAGACAAATTCAATTATTATACTCGATGCATATCCACTCTAAAAAATCGATATTTGCTACATTAGATTTAGCTCGGTCAACAGTGGCAACCCCAGGTTTGAAACATTTAAGCTTGAATGGCTGATGCTTTCACATATGCGTGATGCTTATATAAAATTCCTCGATAAATAACCTCCACAGCTAATAATAAACAAGCTTTTTAAATAACACAGAAAATATATATATATATATACATATAATAGAATGTAATATACATACAATAAACATATTGCTCTTTTCTCAATGTTTATAATATTTTTGGAATTAATACTTTTCCATATAAATGTTTTATTTTCTATATATTGAATTATTTGTACATTTTGTGAGGACTATTAACTATAAATATTTTCGCACAAAATGAATATTTTTATCCAAAATTTGATACTGTATTCTAATCTGGGAAATCTGTAACTAAGCCCCTAAAAGTTAATCAGTATACAACAATACCTCGTGTAGTACGGATTCGCTACAGTGCGGTTTACAGATGAATGAAAAATTTTCAACGATAAAAAATAATGTTTCCTATATTTCTTGAAACACATAGTTGAGATGGATGAACAAATGGAGAAGAGCAATATTGTTTCTGATAGAATGCTCTGAATCGGTCAGCATTAAACTTGTCTGATAACAGTTTATAAATAGATTGGATGGCAGGAGTGGACGATACGTACAATTCAGTGGAGGGTGTTTGTTTCCGGTTTAGTTATAATGATGCGGTCTCAGTAATTGGCAGAAACCGGGATGAATGGAAACGTAACAGTTTGAAGTGATGTTTAACAGCAATGAACGAACGGTTTTCCATGCACGATCCTATGATCGGTAACCCGTGGTAACAACCAATATGTGGATGGCATAATTGGAACGGAATGCGCTGAACTGGATCGACGATTTTCGCTTTGCATTTGAAGCGGGACAAAACGCCACCCCCCAAAATCGCGGTTTCAAAAAGAACCCACCCCAAAAAAATATTAACTAGATTTTTATTTGATGTAGAACTGCAGTAACAAATATTCACTAACTTTATATTTATAAGAAAGAGCACAAATACGGAAATTTTGCATTTGGCGCGTGACACAATACTTCCCCCGTATCAAAAAGATCCGCAAAAAGCGGAGGCAGAAATAATCGCAATTACGCAGAACCCGTGCAGCCCTTATCTGTAGCCAGGTGGATTCCGGGGAGAAATTGAATCTCGCTACTTTATGAATCTCGGCGACAGGATTTGCGCGCGCCCTCCCCTCTTGGGGGGACATAAAACCGACGAATTTACTGCTCCCCAACCCCCGCAACGAACTTTCCTGCCATAAACAGTTCGAATAAGCCCACCAAAATTTACAAACTATTTCTGGAGGCTAAGCTGCTAAGGGCTGCCAGCTTTATTTATCGACTAACTACACCAATTATACGCTCCTTAATTGAGCCGGCAAAACTGCCGTCCCTTCCCCCGACTTTACGGTCAGTAGGCTTCCAGCATAAAAATCGATACACCTGTTTTATTTACCCAAATATGAAGAAGCAGGGTGGAATGAAACGAAGGGATGAGGGACTAAACTCCAATTGATAGAATGTCGGATTCAGTCGACCGGAAGGGGTGGCGCGATGAAATTACGTGGCAAGTGTTGTAGAAATAATTGGCCGTTTAAGGAAACTGTCAGAAATTCGCTATATATATATAAATATATATATACACGTTTCATCGTTCCGCTTGCAAATATTCTTTTAAAAAAATTTTCATTTCCGATCTTTTGAAAAGGGGGAATCGGACCCTCGCCCATCCATTTACAACCCTCCGTTCCTTTGCTAAACGCCACCGTTCAACCACCCACCCGACGTTTCCCATTCCTCTCCCTCTTTACGCGCGTCTTTGCAAACTAACCTTGCGAATCAATAGGAACCTTAATAATTTCGCAGGAATTTTCGCATTTTCCGACAGATAAATGTCGCTGCTTTAATTGGATCCGCAGAACGCGTGGTGCCGCCGCTTTTCATAAAACTTCATCCTTTCGCAGGATGATGCGATTAAACAGGATTAAAGGTCGCACATTAATCCGAGGCTAACCTAGACGAATTTAATTTCATTATAATTGCAATTCTGAGATGATTGAAAAACGTCGCGACGTAAAAGCGAACCTGTGTTTTTGGTTCGAGCGGTGTGGTCTGAAGGGGTGACAGGGTGGTTCGTTCTACACGAAGGACAAATATTTTTCTTTCCGCGCCAAATCCGGCTGACGACAAGCCATCGACATCTACTTGCTTTTAAGGTTTGTTCGAAAATAACTGGAGGCGGCGGGAGATGCGAGCAGGAGGCAAAACTTATATTGTATGGAAACCGAAATGCTGATATATTCATGAATGGTTGACTTCGGCGTCTTGGTATTGCAAAAAGCAATTACAAACTTTTGTATATGATATTTATGCATTTCATAGGCTATTGCGATTTGTACATTAAATTGCCTTCCGATCAAATTTACTTTTCAATTCTCATGATTTATCCAGATGTTATATTTATTTATAAATCTTCATTTACCCTAATTGCGGCCATTTAAATATTATAAGATTTTTAAGAAAATTAAATTAAAACTATAACTATAAAAATATATCACACGATATTAAAAATATATATATAAAAATTGTTAAATTCCGGGAAAATAGTTGAAATATATATTCCATACATTCTAAATCCCGGATGCCTTCGGGACAGATGAATGATTAGAAATGGAATATTAACAATGATGATGCTAAAAATATACGTTTTTGTCAATTCTAACAAAAAAATGCGTTGGTCTATCTAATCATTGTGTTGTTATATTCGGGAAATCCCGGGATTTTAAGGAAAAATCTCAGTCTTTTAAGAAGATACTGCAGATCATTTTCTATTAATGTATTTCATAATTATTAATACATACAACGAGAAGATTGATAATTCTGAATGTAAAAATTAAGATCATTATTATTTCAAATAAATCAATCAATTATGGTAGTTTTCTCGGGAAATAATCCATTAATTCCTTAGATTAGCAGTAAATGCGTAATATGATGGTTTTTCTGTCTGAATTTAATTGGTGTTTTCATTGACTTAGGTATAATGTATTTTGTGATATTGAAAGACAATTCATGTTATCTTTGTATGTGATTTCAGCTACCGTACGTGCTATCAGTGAAATACAATACGGAGGGTGCATTGCTGCCACCCCAGATGAATATTTCATCAGCCGGTGTGATCCCGACATCTGTGCAGACATTTCGGTAAAATTGAAGTCAAATATGAATGAGACGTTATTAAGGGGAAATATTCACTTTTCCTACTCGTCATTCAACCAACCCCATTGTTCCAATGTTTTATTTTGCAGTCTGCGTTTACTTTGCACCGGTTTGGAGGCGACCCAAACGGAAGTCCAGCTCCATTTGAACGTCAGCACCCACAACAAGCTACACAACAACACATCCGTGAAGATTCGCAGGAACAAGATCTGCCAGAAAGGTATGAACCGCAAATTCCAATTAAACTCGAGCAACAATCCCATTAAGGCCAGCACCCCCATACCTAAAATTTGCATCAATTATCCAAAAGATGCGACCGAATGCCGACATACATTCGGTCGGCTGTGGGGTGGTGGAGGTGGGACGCGTTGAGCGCGGGGGGGTCGTTGGCGAAATGCAATTGTCGGAGGCGGCGACGCCCAAATTGCAATCGCCAGACTTCGAGTAAACCATCACCCTTCCTCTTATTCTTCCGCCCCCGCAGCAAAAACTAAATTTCAAGATCACACAATGATCTGCAATTTGTAAATACAGTCGGCAGCGAATCAGCGATAATAAAAAATTATGTATATATATGTACATAGAAGCGAAACGTTAAAGTCAAGGGGGTGGAAACATGTAAATCTGACAAAGAAGAATGAACTACAAGACCCCATCTCTTGGCAATAATAATAAAACTGAAATTTATTGGGATCGTTGATGCCATTCAGATTTCCGTTTCTTCCGCATAGACAGGGGGAGATACACAAAAGATGAATGACTTTATCGACTCAAAAGAATACAACAACAAAAAAAAACTTTGTCTAATTACGTCATCTAACCACTAAAGTGAGCAATGCGGCTTTTTTGATAAGAAATTGTGAATCCCAGCACACTTTGCTCCAAATTGAATTTTCAAATAAATTTATATTCTACATGGTTTTAATAATATAATCAATAATAATTTAACAAATATAATAATTTTGCAAATATACGAATAAATAATTAATTTAGATACTATACAATTATTTTTTTTACAATTAAACTATTTAAATTAACGTAATTGAAGATTTGGTTTCACGTATTAAATCAGTCCAGTTTCAAACAGTCCGCACTGTGCGAGGTATTACTGTATTTAGTTACTTGTTTTCCCAATTGTTGGACAGATGTTGGTGTATAAGTATTGTTGTTTTTATTATGAGATTTTTTTATTCTCAAAAACAGCAGTAAAGTGTTTAGATAATATTGAAATTACATGTTAATTTATGGTGTTTAGAAGAGTAAAACCTGTATCAAGTATTAAAGTGGTTCGTTTTCAGTAAAGATTCGGTTTAAAATGAGCCAATTGCAAGTAAATATTACTTAACATGATTTCCAATGATGAAACGGTAAGGTCAGGATATAGCAACTCTGATCAGATTATAGGTTTATAATATTAATATTATTATATACAGCTTAACAATCAACTAATAACAATACTAATACAAAATCAATATGCGTGAGTATAGTATCACTAAAATTGGCTCAACCATATTCGTGCGGTTTGCACGTTCATAGGCATGTGTACACAAACAGACCACAAATAAGGGACTAAATATTACAATATTAATTGGACAAACACCATTTCAAAAGGTGTCTCAATTTATTTTATTAACTATAGTTTTTGTTTTCATTATCATTAATGAAACTTATTCTCCATGTCTATAATCATCATCATTTAAATTGACAGCTTCTGTAGTTAAGTTAAAAAAATGGTAACTTTTTAATCCTTAAATATTATACCATTATTTATTTAAATGCATTTAAGTTAATGACTAGATAATTTAATGTATTTAGTTCCTTGATTAGTCCGGTTTCAAGCAGGATGAATCAATTACCCGCACTATGCGATGTATTACTGTATATAAATTAGTGATATAAGAAAAACTTTCGTGTAACTAGTATTACGTTTACATGTATAAACAATATAACTACAAACGTGTGCACTAGAGTAAATAAAGTTGTATTGACTAGTTCAATAGGTAATTAATTTCCTTCTCATTAGTCAAATTATCTAAACATTACAATTGCGGCTGCTTTGTGAAATTACTAGTTACGCGTTTGTTTAATATGCATCCATTGTGTAAACTGGAAGATGTTTATTTTATTTACTCCAGAATGCGAAACATGCAATCACTTGCATATCTTATTTTTATATTGTAAATTATGTGAAGATACTTTTGTTCAATTGCAGCCACGGATGGTCAGTCTCGACAATTTTTTTAAATTCCCGGGACATGAGACAACTTTTTAAAACATTCCCAGGAATTCTCGAAATTTCTCGGGAAAATTTTCCCGGTTAAGCAAACCGTTTGACACTCTTGATCTACAACTGCTGTATGTGAAATTAAGATACTACTGTCGCTTTAGGGACGTACTTGTTTTTGGATCAAATCTTCGTCTAATTCCAGCCTGCATTTTATTTCTATTACTTTACACAAATATAAACAAACTTATATAATGTATATATGTTATTACTAAAGCATAAACTTGAATGATATAAAAAATATAGTACTTTCATAACTATAATATTAAACTATTAACATTTGGTTTTTGCCTTTAAAAAAACTATCGATAATATGTTTTTCATGTAATTTATAATATTCAAAATCCCAACTTTTTTTTTAAATTAAAATATTCTGGTATTATGTAGTTATTGACTGAAAGTCTGTCTGCAGATTATGAATAATTACACACGTTTTCTATATTTTCATGTCCTGAGAAACTAGTAGGGTTGAATCCGCAGATCGTGCGAAAGCTTGTTTACTTTCTTGTTTGCAAGCTTTATCAATAAATTTTATAACTAATTTGAGCACGTTTCAGTTTCGTGTAATACCTGTAAAAAGTTTTATTGGTTGAGTTCAATTTTATTTTGTCTTTGTCAAGGTCTTTTTTTCTATAGGAAAAGAATCATAGGCCAGAAAATAGCTACCAATTATTTGAAAGACACTAAAAGTTTGTCTATAGTTAAACTGTCCTTAAAAGCATTTTTTCTTTGTATACAGACAAATCTCTTTTTGAATATATTTAATTACTCTATTAGTTTGGTTTCAAACAATCCGGGTTGGTACTACCCGCACTATGCGAGGTATTGTATTAAAACATCCATTTTATAATAAATTGTAAATTACAAACAACAGTAAAAAAAATGTATGTTTCAAAATAATAATAAACGAAAACAATGCGATTATAATTATATATTTTTTTTGATGCTGACGTTAATTTTAATTGACAACGTGTAGCGCTTCTCATGTGAATATTATAATGTGACAACACGCTCATTAATTTATACATCAAATAAACGACCCGTCAGCAATGCCTGTCTTTTTATTGGGTGGCTGGAACATTATCCTTCCTATGTGTCATCCTGCTTAATATTCGTCTGCGTCTCACTCCAATGTTGTTTTCCAGGATATTTCTCCATTTAAAATCAGATACTTCTTACAAAAGAACGAATATCTAGTATTTTTACCTCTGAAAACGAAGTAATTTTGTAGAATTCGACTATATTTGTATCATTTTATATTTAATAGATATTAATATTTTTTTTCTCTTTGGCCCTATTAAAACTGGGTAAATTAAAACAAAGGGCGAAATATAAATAATGTTCATTATTATTAAAACAATATAGAAACCAAAAATGTATTTATTATTATGTTGCAAATTAATAATAGCAGAAAGCAGTGCTTTTATAATTATAAAATATTATTCTTTTCGCCTTTTGCTGCCGAAATTAATTTTAATTGAAAATGTGCAGCGTTTCTCATGTGAATATTATAACGTGACAACACGCTCATTAATTTATACATCAAATAAACGACGCTTTTTGCAACATATATTCACCACTCGCTGCTCGCTCACAAAAAAACAACAACAAAATATATGCAAAAATGAATTCGAATCAAAATACGGGAATTTATTGCAAACGCATTATTAATTATGTAAATATTTAATAACTTTATAAAAGTAATATTGAAATCGACTGACTGAAAATGTAATATTTCATTCATATTTTACATCCAAAAAAAAAAATGAATGTTTATTTTACATTGCAATAATAATGTAAGTATTAAAATAAAGTAAATTTTAACAAATTAATCAAAACCAATAATTACTGCATGTAATGTTATGTTTATTACAGTTCAATATTAAAATAAAATTTATACAACAGTTGAAAAATGAAATTTCAAATTACTTTTTGTGATCTTTATTTGAAGCGGATTTAAAGTCTTCGATTAGTACGGTTTTAATCAATTAACCGTACTATGCGAGATAATTCATTCAAAATATAATTGTGTATTAATTTAGATTTATAAAGAAATCAATCCTGAAATAATGAATACTAAAATAAGCAATGTTTATTTGTTGTTGTGTCAATGATGCAATTAGTTTCCGTGTTACGATTGTTATACTCACTTGTGCAGATCGTGCGATTAGCACTCGAATTACACGATTTTGGTTTAAAACGGTTCAAGCAAATGCGATTAATGCGGTTTTCAACAGAGCGGGGTTTTACAAACCCTAGTGAATATTCTTTTATACAAATGATTTCAGTACATGTTTTCATAATTTACATGGATTATTAATAATACAAGAAATTGTTATATAATTTAGAAAGTAGATTAAAGAATTTGAGTAAAGTTGTGTATTATTAGATGAAATATTTTATGAAATTCCTTAATATGATGATGTAATCATTTAGAATGTATGATCGATATGCCCCAAGGGTCACCAGTTGCGTGAAATGGAAATACAATTTTCTCCAAAAGCAATATTATCAAAACATTTAAGTTTTCCTTCTAATAAATAAAATTGCTAAAACGTCAAGTTTGTTAATAGAAAACGATATATGTTTTTAAATTAGATATAATAAGAATTAATGAAAGTATAGGAAAACAGTAATTGTTTTAGCCAATATGCCTTAATATTTGAAACCGGACTAATCGAGGATCTAAAACAGCGTCTTCCAAACTGTGAGGCGCGCCTCCCTGGGGAGGCGTGAACTAGTCTAAGGGGAGGCGCGAATATTAGTAGCAGTGAGCAATTTTCCTAATATCTGCTAAAGTATAGTTACATTCATGTGCTCTTATCCATAATGCTGTAATACGCGTTAAAAGTTGAAAAATTGAAATAAGAACGTTCGAAAAACCAGTGTTTTATATTTCATTGATTTTCTGGAAAA